GGACGGACGGACGGACGGACGACGAACGAACGCGACGGACGGACGGGAGGACGGACGGACACGGACGGCGGACGGACGGACGGACGGACGGACGGGACGGACGGACGGACGGACGGACGGAACGAACGGACACGGACGGACGGACGGACGTACGGACGGACGGACGGACGGACGGACGGACGGACGGACGGACGGACGGACGGACGGACGGACGGACGGACGGACGGACGGACGGACGGACGGGCGGTCAGACGGACGGACGAACGGACGGTCAGTCAGACGAACGAACGGGCAGACGGACAGACAGAAGGACAGACAGGCAGACGGACAGACAGATGGACGGACAGACAGATAGACAGACAGCCAGCCAGACACATAGACAGACAGACACACAAGCGGGCAGGCAGGCAGATAGACAGACAGGCAGGCAGACATGCAGACAGACAGGTGATGGATGATTAGATAGATAGATGAATACATCCACACATACATAGATATCGCACATACGCACCGATTCATATGTGTGAGTACTCCGATTATTGCCCACGTGGATCGCTAGCTCGCCCGCCCGCCCGCCCCCACGCACGTACGCATTAAAAAGTTAAACTTGAAGAACACACAACGAAAGAAGCACAGGAGGAGGAAGAGGACGAGGAGGAGGAGGTGGAGGAGGAGTGAAGAAGGAGGAGTAGGAGGATGAGTAAAAGGAAGAGGAGCAGGAGAAGGAGAAGGAGGAGGAAGAGAATGAAAAGGAGGAGGAGGAGGAGGAGACGTAGAAAGGATAACTAAGAGGAAGCTGAGGGAAAATAGCGATAGCAGTAGAAACTTCCAACAAATATAACGAACAATACCTCGATCAAATAAAACGGTTACCTTGGCGCACACATCGGTACAATGACAGATTCCAGCGTTCTTAAAAATCGTTCCCTTGCACTTGGTGGGTGGTCTAAACCGGATCCGGTCGCAAATTCCCGGAGGACAGACGAACGTAGTCTGTGCCTCCACAAGAGGGCCAAATAGAGCAACGACGAGAAGCCCTATAGCAGCTGTGGGCAGAACATGAGAGACCTCAATCAGCATGCTTCCTTTATCCGGAGAACTTGTGTGGAGACTCTTTCGACGTACCAATCCTTTGTATACAGCAAGAAAACGATAAGGTTTATCCAAATAGAGAGTTAGAGTAAATTAAAAAGAGCGAAAGTAGCTGTAGGTCGGTCTATGTCGCGCGTATCGGCCTTATTGGTGCGTTCGCGGCGGTTCTGAGAAATCTCTGACTGCAGGGAGTACATACATGTATATATATAGGGGGATTTAGTTATCGGATAATTGAAATCGTTAGTCACTGGCAACACCTACACCGGTTGCTCGTTGATTGGCAGTCATTGTGACGTATGACTAGCATGGCTCATGCGCGTGCATAGCGAGGTTGTATCGACATCGCCGTAGCATATACGATGCGACGACACAACTACGGGAGACTTTTCCTATCTGTCTATCTACCCACCTACCTAACTGCCTACGTAACTACCTATCTGTCTACCTACCTAACTACTGTGTGTGTGTGTGTGTGTGTGTGTGTGCACGCACCTCTATCACGTGCGTGCGTGCGTGCGTGTGTAATATTCTATTTTTTATAGTGATAACCATATGGAACTCAACAAAGCTGACGACTCAATCTACGCGAAAATGTGGTATAAGCCGGTATTTGAGCCTTACAGCCTTGCCTAAACCTTAAGGTAAAGTCGATGTAGTGCAATCAAGTATCGTGCCGTAATTTTATTATACGTGTATATAATGAGCTTAGCCTTGTTACGGACTACTCAGGTTAGCACGAATATAGCGTCGACATTCAGGTAAGCCATACTGCATTCAGAAAGCTCGCGTATACATCAGATATCCCGCGGGTTCTTCGCCACTATGTGGTTTAACAACCTAGTTAGTAAATCCGGGATGGGAAGCTTCCCACGTAACGAGCATTGACACCTCAGTTATCATGACTTAAGGCAGATTCGCCCACACTCGCAGTTTTGGAAAAGATGGCCACTATGTTCTGCGAGTTACCCACGCGCACTCGATATGGTTTTTATCCTAACATGCAGTCAAGGATTTTCGTTTGCGTGAAAAATTTTCCGTCTACTTTGGTAGCACAAAACAAGGCACGGCCCAAAACATGACAAAAAATAAGGCCAAAATGTCGGTGGCCAAAATCTTTCGGGCCTAAATGTATATAAGTTGATGATTTTAGGCGGATTGAAAAACGATCATGTGTGCGTTCGGCAGCATTCTCAGGACATTCTAAAACCTTGCAAGTTTCACGACTACCGATGTTTGCGACGTAATATTTAGCCTATTGTTTAGGGTAAGCCATTTCGTAGCCGATATGCTGTTGTGGCTCGCAGAACGTTTACGATGACGCACGTGCTAATAACGATTTTCTGATGATATTCAACGAAGGAGCGGCTTAGGGCGTTGAAAGCAATCACCGCGCGTATCCAATTATGAAGCAGTTAGCTCGAGGAGTCAGGCCCTGTGATCAAATGATTGTCATCCTTGATAGGAATGTACAGCCTCGTCGCAATGCATACGGCTGTTAGCATCTCAAAATATCGAGATCGCTGTTTGCACCTATGTATCGGTGCGTGCCTGCGTATATATATATATATATATATATATATCAAAAGATATCAATAATAGAGAGAAGAGTATGACACCGTTTTAACAGCGTTTTGCATAGTTTTCAACTTGTAAATATTCTATCAATATGTGAATATATATATTCAAACTTTACCTTGTTTTTATGATTCTCCCTTAATCATATGACACCACCAATTTATCTGAAAATCGTATGTGTTTTTCAAAAAAGTTCTTTGAATACGACACGGTTTCACACAGTTTTCCCAACTATTCACATCTGAGCGGCGAAAGTTTATTATCGGATTAGTGTTCTATTGTCTATGACGGAACTCTGGTATATGGTGGCCGAGATGCGAATTTATTTTTTACAACACAGTTCGACTATGGTTCGACCACTCGTTCGTCATTATAGGTTATTCGGATTAGGGTTAGGGTTAGGGTTAGGTTAGGATTACGGTTAGGGTTAGGGTTAGGGTTAAGGTTAGGACAAAAACTGTGTTGTGAAAAACAGTTTTTTTTCTTAACCCTAACCCTAACCCTAACCTTAATCCTAACCTAACCCTAACACTAACCCTAACCCTAAACAGGAAAAAATAAATAAACAGATGGGACTCGAACCAGCGACCTTCCAGACGTAACGACCGCGTTCTACGAGTTCGGCTATTCAGCATTATTGAAAAAAATCACATGACATATGTGTAAAATAACTGTATATGTAACATAACTGTGTTGTGAAAATAAATTTGCGGCCGAGATGGCTACGGATATTTTTTTATTTATTTTTAATTCATTTTTATTCCAAATTCATTTTCATTTCAAATTCATTTTCATTTCAAATTCATTTTCATTCCAAATTCATTTGCGAGAACATATCGCGGTGGCCGAGATGGCTACGGATATTGGTGGGGGCGGAGTGACGTCACTTCCCCTTAGTGGGACTTAACAAACCTTCAAAACAAGAGAACAAACGCCATTTGTAAATGTGTTGTTTTGGTTTATGATCGGTAGGTAAGTAAGTTTTTCTGATGTATAGTCCATGAAAAACACACATTTTACTCATTAATATAACATATAATATAACATTTTACTCATTAATAATATCACTATAATTGCAATTCTTTGTGTAAATGTGTTATTTTCATCTTCATCTTAAAGTTATGAGAGGGTCTCGGCTCTTGTATTACGACATACGTACGTACGTACGTACTGCCTACTGGTACTATAGCCCTTCGCTCCGTCGCAAGAGCGTGTGTGTGCGTGCGCCTTTGCGTGTGCGCGCGCCGTGTGCCTATGCGTGTGCGTGCGTGCGCGCGCGTGTGTGTGTGTGTGCATGTGCGTGTGTGCGCGCCGTGTGCCTATGCGGCGTTTGCTTGCTGTTAGCGACACGAGGACGCGATAACCAACATCACACTTATATATATAGTGACCCTAGTGACCATAGTGACTATAGTGACTATAGGACGTGTACAACAGTAAGCTTCGCAATTGTTCACCGTTGCATTATTTCGTCTCTAGAAAAGACCTTTTTTGACATTTTTTTTCGCCGAAATTCGGCACTAGAGTGCAATAATTTGCATTATGCACGCAAGGTAGAGGCCTCGTGGACGTCTAGAAAGCATTAGAAGTAAAATTATTCGTGTTGTGTAATTGTGCCATTCCAGCTAGTGGCGTAGCCATGGTCGCCGGTCGGCCATTTTTGTGTAGGAAACGGGATCCGACTACTCTGTAGAAATTCGCATCATAGAGCTAGCAAAAGTTTCGAGCAGAGCATAGAGCACGAATCTGTAGTTATTTAACATGAATAAAGTGTTTGTTTTCTAAGCGCAGTAACAGTGTGCGTATTTTTAATTTATTTCTGTTCGATGCTTATTCAGGCCTGCAGCTTATGGACGCCCTCTACTGTTCAACACCCATAGTGACTAGTAGACTATAGTGACTATATATATAGACACCTATATAATATTATATAAGTGTCAGTGTGCAGCACTGCAGCGGCAGCAATGGCGCTTGGCGGCAGCCAATGTTTGTTGTAGATGAGCATTTGGGCGGCATTTACAGGAAATTTGTCGGCAATAATAGGTGAAAGAGAGTATAGAAACATTATTTAGCATTATATTTTATTGAAACGCTTCAAGTGTCTGTGGTTGAGTCCCCCGGCTCACGTGTGATGTGGTTATCGCGTCCTCGTGTTGCTAACAGCAAGCAAACGCCGCATAGGTACACGGCGCGCACACACGCACACGCACACACGGCGCGCGCACACGCAAATAAAAGGCGCACGCACACACACGCACACGCTCCTGCGACGGAGCGAAGGGCTATAGTATCAGTAGGCAGTACGTACGTACGTACGTACGTACATATGTCGTATTACGAGACCAGATACCCTCTTATAACTTTAAGATAAAGATGAAAATAACACATTTACACAAAGAATTGCAATTATAGTGATATTATATGTTATATTAATGAGTAAAATGTGTGCTTTTTATGGAATATACATCAGAAAAACTTACTTATCTACCAATCATAAACCAAAACAGCATATTTACAAATGGCGTTTGTTCTCTTGTTTTGAAGGACGTCACTCCGCCCCACCAATATCCGTAGCCATCTCGGCCACCGCGATTTGTTCTCGCAAATGAATTTGGAATGAAAATGAATTTGAAATGAAAATGAATTTGAAATGAAAATGAAAATGAATTTGAAATAAAAATGAATTTGAAATAAAAATGAATATGAAATAAAAATGAATTTGAAATAAAAATGAATTTGAAATGAAAATGAATTTGGAATGAAAATTAATTTGAAATGAAAATTAATTTGAAATGAAAATGAATTTGGAATAAAAATGAATATGAAACAAAAATGAATTTGAAATGAAAATGAATTTGGAATGAAAATAAATTTGAAATAAAAATGAATTTGAAATGAAAATAAATTTGGAATGAAAATGAATTTGAAATGAAAATGATTTTGGAATAAAAATGAATTTGGAATGAAAATGATTTTGGAATAAAAATGAATTTGAAACGAAAATGAATTTGGAATGAAAATGAATTAAAAATAAATAATAAAAATATCCGCAGCCATCTCGGCCACCATACTTTCATACGCACACACACACACACACACACACACACACACACACACACACACACACCCAAAGAGATAATGTATGTATGTATGTATGTGTGTGTGTGTGTGTATTGTGTGTGTGTGTGT